GAAAATGCTTTGTAGCAAAGTCCAACGAACCATGCGTGCATTGCGATGCTAATAAAAAGGACAAAGCAAGAAAGCGTGACTTTGATACGGTACTGTATCTATACGCAAAGCCTTTGTTTTTTTTTTATCTCAAACACGACACATACGTGATACAATACAATCGTATGTTAGATCGGGACCCACCGTATTTTTATTTTTTAACTGTCACTGTCTTCAGGGTCAAAAGAGGAAATTTTGAAACTCTTTCTTGGGTTTCAGTAACATACATAACACTAAAAAGCATCCTCTTTTTTTTGTTTGTTATCTTGTCTTTACATTTGATAAGGTATGAAACTTATATACTATCTGCCACTCGTACACTCGTGACTCTGCCACATAGTGTTGTTACAAAAGACAAAACAAAACTTGTAGTTCAAAAGTACAGTTGAGCTCTTAATGCATTATATCTTTTTATATTTTGTGGGTACGTAGCGTTTGGCGTTCTAATTCAAACGCAAAACGCTGTTGATCCATCTATCACTTATTTCGATGGATATTGTTTAGTTATACACTAAGATATCATATAACTACATAATCTAACTATTCATTAGAAAACCTCTTAACAGATTAGATGAGTAAATAACTGATTTAGCTTATAATTTCCAGATATAGCGTACCAATTAAGAGTTTTTGTAGAGGTAAGTCATTTACATATAAGATGAATTAGTATTCATATTACAATGAGAAGCATTTTTTCACTATTTCTAACCTTTCATTATAAATGATAGAACCAACTTATCAGTATATCATTGGATAATATATCTATATTTATATAGCAGCAATTCATGTACAAGATTCCAAAAGATAAATAATTAAAACCCTCGTGTAACGTCCATGTAACCGAAGTTATTTCTTCAAGAAAATGGCATTGGCCAATGAGAAGACCACACGAGAATTAGGCTTTGTCCATTCTCCATACCTCATTTAATAACGACGTTTCATCGTTCCTAACGGATTCAATAATTTGTATCACGTCGCTGATCTGACTCTCACAAACCAGAAGGGTTAAACTCTCTCACGTGTTCCTCACGTGCCTTGGGTCCCATTTCCTTTTGCAACTCCCCAAAAAGGAGGGATACCC